GCCCCAACTTCTACTCATTTCCATTTGATAACTGCCAACACCAAAACGGTCATCTCGAAATTTGTTCAACGTGGCAGCAATCGAGGATCATGAAACTATTCGGGAAGCAGGGACTGAGCAATAGAGCGATCTGATTTGCTGAACAAGTGAATGGTACGGTAAGGCTCTGAGCTTTATATAGCATCATGACAATTTGCTTATCATGGCGTCTGATAGATTGTTTACTGTGATTTCACTGAGTCAGCAACGTAACCAAACTCTTCGTTTAAACTGAACGCAGTAAAAGCAGTTGCGATTGCAAAAAAATTTCAGTTTGCAGTTGAAATAGTTTTTCTGAATAGCAGCGAATGGTCTTCGTATTATCCACTGTGTAATAAGTAACATAATTCGATGATTCACAGAAGATGATTCAATGAATTTGATTGATAACCGCGGACGATTCATCATTGTCACTGTTCCTTTAATAAACAGTTCTCATTAAAGCATATCATTAAAACGATCACGTTTCCAACTGATTCGATCAGAAAGCATCAAATTTTTGATCAATCTAAACAATTCAGTTTATGACAGTGAACACCAAAGCGCTTGTATAAATAGGCACTTTCGTTGAAAGCTCAATTGAAATTTCCAGTGTATCTCGCTATAATAATCCTTGTACTTCAAAAGCACGCTTTTTTGCTTTTAATAACCCCCAAATTATATCCATGGTAGTGGTGAACCGCACCGAAGAAATTGGGTGTGCTCGATTGCTGCCACTTTACCTTCGGAGATGTGAAACATCCCCAACATGGAACACCATCTTTTAACTGACACCGCTCAAAAGGATTGCAATCCCATGTGTCGAACCCATACTGATGAACGAGCCTCATATTCGTATCTCCATATGAATTCCACCCTCCCCATCCTTTCAACACGTGACGGCACATGAATTCCGAGTCGAGTTCGATCAGGAACGAATCAGTTCCCCATCCATCAAGTACAGCATAGTTCCCTAATCCATACTGTTTGGAGTCGCTCCTTCAACTGATAATGCCTGTTTGTTGCAGATGAACGCGATACTGTACATTACAGTCGCGGCATGCACGCTTGTTGCGTGCGGGTTCGGAGATGGAGGCGAAATGCAGTTGGCTGAGAAAGATTTAGGATATACTGCGGTTTGCTCTGACGAAATCAAGCAGCAGTTCGCCACTCTGGTAAGCTTGATCACATATTAACGGAGCGAACCATCATTTTCTACATTGTTCAATTCAAAAAGCGGAAATGAAGTATAGTGATTAGATATTGCAAACAATGAGAATCATATATCATCTCTGAAAGTTTCTTGCATCAGAATCCAATCATTTTCAGTCCGACGAAGAAAAAAGTCGAGAACTACAAAAGTTACAAGCACAGAACACATCGGCACTGCTAATGATGAACTTCATGAGCGAATACGTGAACTGGGATGAATTTCTCTACGACTTACCAATAGTGGTCACTGAACTCGGCGAACTGATGTTGTTCTCGAATAAGCGTGACTTCACACTGTACAGAGATAACTTCACCTATCACTATATTCAAAGACCTGA